GTCTGTTCCTACTCCTCGTCCCGTAACTCTATCTTCCATTCCCCAGATTGGGGGAAGAGCCTTAACAAGTCCACCGATTTTATGAACCGTAGGGTTGAGGCAGCGGACGATTACGCTTAGCGAGCTTTCCTCTATCAAGTCTTCGTTTTCAATATCAGGGATATCCACTATCTCGCCTTCTTCAATCAGGTTTCTTTCCTTAAGCTCTTCCATTAGTGAGAGCTCCTTCTTTTTCCTCGGACGATTCATTGTCCTCCTTACCCAAGATCTTCCCTGAAAACCAAGACTTCTGCTTCAATAAACTGCAGCTCCAAGGAAACAAGTGCGGAATATTCTCAGATCCGAAGCCACAAAGGCTTAATGAACAGCAGAGATCTCTAGATCTGTTGCCGATTGAAATCCTAGGGTCCCTATCTAGAAATTTCTTGTGTCGCCGCCAGAGAGAGGGAACTGTACGGAAAACCTAGACATTTTTTAGAGAATTTCATGCAAACTTGGTTGGATTAGGTTTAAATCGTTACAAAAGAGAATTCTGAAAACTACAACAAAATATAGATTAATTAAAAGGGCCACCAACATTAATGTTCGAAGGAAACCGTCTTTCTGGTTTGACTCTTGGATGGATCTCAATCTATCAAGCAATCATCGATCGCACAATATGTAGTCGTCTTATTTTCTTTCTGCACGTCTTCGATCGTTTCTCTATCTCTTTTTGAATTTTATTTTCGGTTGTTTCGCGCATTCGTCTAAACTAAACTTTTAAATTTGTTCTAGTTTTGTAATTTCCTCCTATAGCTAATTGATTAGTTACGTTGTAAATTCTTATTTTTGGTGCAAAATTCAACAATAGAACATGTAAAAACAATAAAAATAGTAATACAGTTACAATTGATAAAATACTATAATATTACAAAGAGATTGGCATTATCATATTTAAGGTTTCACTTTCATGAAATGTGTTTTGTACAAGGCCGATGGGTCGGGCCTATCTGTCAGTTTTATAAAAAAGTTTTAAGATTTTTTAATTTTTTTTTGCACAGGACCCATGAAACCAGTGGACCGGGCCTGACAACATCCGATTACAAAGTTACAGATCATATAACCAAGAACATTTACAATAACTACTTTCTCATAGAAAAGAGCCTTAATCTCTTTTATAAGTAAATCTAACATCATCTTACTCTTGGATCTTCTGAAAATATTAGTATA